TCAACTTGCAAGAATGCAATGCATTAGAAACAAAGTAGTTTGCCCTACAGTGGAATCGTGTTAAATGGAACCGAAAAGGACCAGAAAAATGTGATTCATTTAGCAGGAGTTTTATATAGGGTTAATACCTGATTGATATGCAGTGCTAGTGTGATCTCTTATAAGCCCTCTCAATGATGTTATTTATGCAGATTGAAGTGAAGCGCTCTGCATGTCCTGTCCCTTTTGCTGTGCGTTCTTTACCAACCTTGAAGGGGCCCTGCAAGTAGCCACGGAGTAGATTCACTAAGGTGGATTGACCTCACGAATTGGCTGCCGTTAAAATTTTTGAATCCGTCCAGTAAGAGTGAAGTTAGAGAGATTTGTCGCACTCTGCAATTGCTTTCTCTCTTCTCTCGTCTCGACAAAAGTGCTGGAAGCTAAGCAGAGAGGGACGACATAGGGTAAAAATATAGGTCACTTGCACCTCGGGACCCTGAACATTTTGTCTTTTTTTCTTCTAACGCGGGGCTTTTCAAAGCGATCGCGCGCGCATGTGTGGACAGGTTGCGCTTACCCCAGTAACTTCCAAGCGTGCCATGCTAAAATTGGCCAATGGCAGGACACTTTGGTCTGTGACACAATGATTTTTGAGAATATAGCATAATTTTTTTTAGAGAACGATGTTTAGCTGACCTTGAGAATATATTGTAAATTCCAGGCATATGCAATCGTACTTGCGAGTGCGCAGCTTCTCAACTTCCGTGTATAAACTTCTTCTACCCTTTTTTTTTTGTGTGTGTGTGTGTGTGTGCGAGCCCTGGACAGTACTTACACCTCTTCTAGTTATTAAGCAGTGACCCATGATGCATAGACTGTCATGACTGTGGGAGTCTAACTTGAATTAATGTGAGTTACTTACTAGTAAATTATACTGAGCTCCGAAATTCACATGCTATACTCGGACAGCATGGCAGACAGCACTTTTAGCCACCTCTGGTTGGTGGTGAATTTGGACCAATACATTATGGTTGCGAGGATCCTTGCCATATGTCAAAGTGCATTAGGCCTTCTAGCAATCAGGCAGCGTTCATTGGTATGAGAAATTCCAGCCACGCAATTAGTATTGGATGTGAATTGCCAAGCATTACAACAGGAACCCTAGCAGCCAGGTGTTCCTCGCCGACCCAAACGCATTCTTGCCTCATACAAGATGCTGTGAAATGCCAAATGGAAAATTGCTTCTACAGGGATAGCTCAATCAAGGTGGAAGAAGCTGAAATTTCTTTGGCAATAGCTCATACTCGGGCGGAGTATATATTCCCAGATTCGAAAACAGCCCTTTGTAACTTTGCTATGCATCAAATTCATGTGCTTTCCCACTGCATCCTACTACAATTCTTCTCTTCTCACAAATGAGAAATGCCAGGCCTGTGTGGAAGCTGCAGAACAGTCACAGCGAAAACTATAAGAGCAGCCTTTCAGAGCCTTTTCTAAACGCTCATTATGGAACTGCTGCAAGCACACTTGCTGGGTACCCACTACCGCATTCATAATAATAATTTCTGGGTAGTAGACCAGCATTTGCTATGCTATTTTACATCATTCTTCTGAAAAGCATTGTATCCGCTAAACACTTGCAAGGAATTTTGTGCCAATTGTTCATGCAGTGGCTGAGGACGATGGAGAATTATGGCTGAAGTGGGTATGCGCCACAGGTAATAGGTAAACAAGAACAAGCTTTTGTAATGGCTTGTAGCGTTGGATGACCCACTCATTACGCTACTCACATTGTGTGACACTTCGTTGCTTTTTTGCTGTTCTAAAACACTTTATTACTCATATTAACACGATTCCTTTCTCGACAACTAGCTTGCCTAAGGCAAGTTGGCAATTAAGTCCCAAGCACCAGCGTGGCTCAGTGGTAGAATACTGGGCTGGCACCCAGCAAACCCACGTTCGAACCTTACTGTGTCCTTGGTCCTACATTTTTTTATTTCGCAATAAGTGATTGCAGACACGAACGGAGGTGGACAACTACAGCATCGCGCTTTACCCGAGTTTTGATCTCATAACAGTTTTCGCTGTAATAATCACTATTTTGTGGGCTGCCACACATTTTGGACATCCTAGGAATACAAAACATGAACAAAACAAGCCCAAGCACTCGTCAACCAGGCTGTAGACTGCCTACCTTCTTCCCGCAGGGAGCAGGGATGCTTCTCACCTACCATGAAGTTACTTTACATTACCGCGATTCCCATATGATCTACGCACCAGCACAAAAATCGCTGCAAAACTGTGATTCGACCTCGTTGGAACATATTCATCTTGAAAATTTTGCGCAAGCATATGGGGACAAGGATGGGAAACAAATGGGTGCAATCTAACAACATGGTTTCTTTTTTTTTTTTTTTTTTGAACGTTAACTCAAAAGCCGCCAAAGCTGTGCAATCTAGTCAGAAAAAACTCATGATCAACGCGTATGGGACAACTTGTGATGACAAGGTCAACGAATCGAGGACAGCAGCGAATTTTCTTTTTCAAGTAAGGCAACCGAGGGCTGGCTAACACACTTTTTCTTTCGTTTATTAATGTAATACACTTCCATTCTCTCTCTCAAGGTTTAGTTGTGATGCATATAATTCACGGTGGCATTATCAAAAAAGGCATGCATGCACATTCATTGCAATGCAGCGCTAGATGTGTTTTTTGATACACTTTAGATTGCGCCCATTTGTGTTTCTCTTCTTCGTCCCCATATGCTTGCATAAAAATTCTGTCTCAGGCTGAGCAAATCACTAGGCATCAACTCCAAACGAGCACATAGACCTCTCACCTCATCAATTCTCAAATTCACCAGGCTGACGCCTTTTCTTATTGTCCTCTCTGCTCTAGTCCGTGAGCTGGTTCTAATCATTTATATTGAACTTTCTCAAAATCCCCTATTTTGCGGTGGCTGAGCGACAGGAGCATTAGGGGGTAGCTCTGCACAGCTCACAACTGGGAGACCAACTCCGGTTCGTGTGCTGGGCCACGGGGATCGCTGAAGTGCAAGAACTTTTTGCCACCTAGAGCACCCCGAGGGCCTATGGTCACTTCTTCCCTGACCCCTTCCCCCTCACTTGACCCATTCTTGGTGCCAATAAAGCTTTATTGCCCGGCCGCGGTAGTTAAGGCCCTCGGCTGCTGACCCGCAGGTTGCAGGATCGAATCCTGGCTGCGGCGGCTGCATTTTCGATGGAGGCGAAAATGCTGTAGGCCCGTGTGCTCAGATTTGGGCGTACGGTAAATAACCCCAGGTGGTCGAAAACTTCTGGAACTCTCCACTACGGCGTCTTTCATAATCATATGGTGGTCTTGGGATGTTAAACCCCACATATCAATCAGTAAAGCTTTATCAACCTCCTAAATTGCAAGTCTTGGAAAACATAAGAACTGTACCAAGGGAGATTTTTATGGAAATATCTTTATGTTCAGCGAAAATCGGATTGAATTGGGTGTGTGAAGAAAGAGTGAAAAGTTGATTTGAGTAGGCCAATACTGAGTGAATAATTGACAACAGTAGAACGTTGGATAAATCTATTTGAATTCACCATTGAAGAGCTGCTCAAATTGAGACGCTGTGCAAAATCCGTTTCTGAAAGTGTTCAAGGAGCTTCAAGTTGTTTTCATAGCAGTGTTACCAAAAAAAAAAAAAAAATTCTGCTTTTCCTTTGTCCTGTGTTATAACATAGTAGAGCTGACAGTCTCCGAACGGTAGCCCATAGTGATGAAATCAGTTTTCCAATGATTGCAGCTCAACTGTGACAGTTCTATTACATATTTTCTTTCAGAACTCCAGCAGGATGGAAGCGTCAATATCTGCGCAAGCAATTGCTATCAAGTATAAACATTGCTGATGTAGGCTCACTTCGTTCATGCTAGAGTTTCTCAGTAACACAGTGCATAGGTACAAGAAACAGACATCAAGTGCTGTGAGACAGTGGTGCACTATACTAAAAAGTGGAGCATTTATGAAACACAAGTGCATCGTTAGCACTGGTAAACCATTACCTGCAAGAAGGACAATCAGTGTTTCGATGGTGTAAGTCAAAAGGCTGAGTAATACTGTAGACCATCTCTACCTATTGAACCATCATTGAAATGTTGTAGTTCATTCTTTCAATAGCTGTAGTACAGGAGCGAACCAGAATTTCAGAACTATAGTACAAGGGGCACACAACAATCAGTGTACTAAAAGAAGGTCACTGCTATTAGTCATGAGACTAGGCTTGTACAAATATTCAGGCTCTTCAAATATGCCAACAAATAATAACCATATTTAAATTTAAATTATTATAAATTTCTAAGTATTCGAAAAGAACGAATACGTGCACTATAGTAATTCACACGTAAACACCTGTAAAGGTGGTCTCGGTGCCCTGAAGGGGTGCTATACTGTGAATACATTTAAAAAAATTTGCACTGCTGCAAAGCACTATATTAAGGTTAATTGAACATTACATTAATTCTTAATTTTTCAAAATAGAGAGCTTGTTATACTGGCTTATATGCTCTTAAGTATGGTAAATTTTAAAACGCAACATACTTTACAGGTGATCCCTTGTATCATACTGAAAATCAAATGCTGCTACTGTACAAAATTGCTTTTACTTTCTTTGAACCAAAAAGAATAACATCTGCAGATGCCTTGCTTCAATTTTTTAAATATTGTGCAGGTTGGTTAAGTTAAGCCAAATATGCTCGTTTTTTATAACACATGATATGTGCTACTCGAGTTCGATTCACAATTAAAAAAAGACCACTCACACAAGCATAGATATGATGCATCAGAAAGCCTTTTCATGTTTTAGGGGAAAGAAGGGGTAGTAATCAAATTTATTGTTGGAATGTTTTATTTCATCATCATGGTAACTTGCCATGAGTGAAAAAAAAAAAAAAACTTGTAACGTTACATCAATGTATCAAAGAAAGGTCCAGTATATAACTATAAATTAGGAACAAAATGTAATTAGTGGCAGTAGTTCTTTGGCTTTCTGCTTGGGTATCATCATTTCCAGAGAGCTAACTGTCGAGGTGCACAAGTCGGTCGACCTCTGCTTGCAAATGCTCCTTTCGCGATTCCAGATGCTTCAGCGTCGACTCAATTTTGCTGACATCATCTTTGAAAATTTTTCTGCAGATCGAAAAAAAAAAGCAAAACAACAAAGTGTAATTCAGCACTGTAAATTAGGGCAATGCACTTTTCATTAGTCATGCGTGACCTTGCATGCATTAACAATTGGAAGAATGAAATACTGTCTTTCTGTACGCTTAGCTTCCACACCCGATATACCTTGGCATGACACACCAATGTTCCCAAACACAGGGTAATTACCCTACTTGTAGGGTATTTTCAGAATTTCTTGTGCAGCATAAGGTAGTGGAGCAGTAATACCACTTCCTTATCAAGTGTAATACCCTTGCTTGTCATCGATCAGGGAAAGATTTGAACTGTTGACGTGACGTCCCTGGGGGTGACGTTCCTAAACACACACGAAAACTTAAACTTGTTTCTTTTAATAAAACTCGAACTCTTATAATTCACAAGTCACTAGCATAGGGCAGACACGAAAGATAATACTCCGGTCTTTTGAGGGCGACGGCAATCAGTGCAAGCGATGAAGAAAGCGAAAAAGAGGGTGGTTTTCGCTTTCACGCTATCTTTGAGTACGCAAGGGACCATGAGAATTTTTTCGATGACGGTGCATGAACGAATAAAAGAGTCCGCAACTCACTTCAGCACCACTACACATGTGCACGTGGTACAGTGAAGTGTAGTCTGTGCCTTGTTACAGTGCACTATTTTCTAGGCGCAGAGTAAAATGTAGGGTAGTAAAAAAATTCTGTAGTGTAAAGTAGGGTAATATTGAGCGTGACGTAGGGTATTTTTTGAAAATTTGCTGGCAACAATGTTACACACACAGCTTACAATTAAGCATGCTATGGCACAAAACACGACACGAGACCAACCCCACAACAATTTACTTAAGCCCAAAGTTCTGCAATAGTGGTACATGTTCTTGTATCGTGTGCACATTTCACCATGAACTATGCAAATAACCACACAGAAGGGTGAATACAGTGCTATGCCAAGCTTAACTGTCAATTTTCATAAACTCCAGAACAAAGTAGCTAACGTGGTCGCTTGGGCGAGTTGATACGAGATGATTCACATAAAAAACAGTGCTGTTTTTTATGTGAATCCAGAAGAAAGGGGAGTGATGATGTCACTGTCAAGATTTCATTGCACAGAGGGCACTTCCCTATAATCTTGAAGGCCAATAACCACTGCTCTCTTAACAGATTATTTGCGACCCAGGATTTTTTTCTTCTATTTTTCAAAGAAAGGGCACAGGTTGAGCTTTGTTTGTGCTTCGATAAAGCCCAATGAAAGAGGTGTGATGTGCAGCACATGACCACCTGCCTTTGCTTGGTTAGATTACTTGTTGCACCTATACAAATTATATTTTTACTGACGCACACTTCCCCAGAAACCTTTGCATATAGTTTTTTTTATATTTCTACATGTGTTTAATTATTACAAGGAACAATTAATTTTCGCACATCCCTCACCTGCCGTTCCATTACAACATCGAAATAGCTGCACAACATTTTTTTTTCTCACCTCACAGCTCTTTCAAGCTATTTGATTGGCTGCTGTAAAGAGAGGATGTGACTATGCTGGCTCTACATCTATTTAATTATTACAAGCGCAAGGGGGTTTAATAGCGACGCCAGGTAATAGGCAGACAGCCGGTACAAAAACAAATAGTCGGGCAGTCCAGCGTCTACAGCTCGTGTACCCGCTCGCGCTTCGCACTCAGCGATGGTCCCACTAGTCATTGCCTTGCAGTCCAGCGTCTACAGCTCGTGCACCCGCTCGCGCTTCGCACTCAGCGATGGTCCCACTAGTCATTGCCTTGCGAATTCCCCACTACAATGCCCCGGCGACGAAGACGAGCCATCCTGGCGACTCAAGGTGACGAGAGAACAGGAGGGTCGTTACAGGGCTTGAGGCGACTGACGTGGACCGTCTCACGACCAAGGCGGCGCTTGTCCGTGGACGGCTTGAGCGGTTCAATCACATAGGTGACAGAATAAGGGTGCTGTATGACACGGTAAGGGCCCGTATACTTCGGTGCAAACTTGGGAGTCAGTCCAGGAGAGTGGAAAGGCAGTCGAAGCCACACGAGAGAACCGATGGGGAAGGTATTCTGAACAAGATCATGGTCGTGGAGATCTTTTTGGAGGGCTTGGTTATCGGGTGTGGAGGACCGTGCAAGCTGACGACACTCTTCGGCATGTTCGGCCATTTCAGAAACTCGGCTGAACTCGGAGGCATCAGGATTGTATGGCAGAATTGTGTCGAGTGTGTTGCATGAGTCACGACCATATAAAAAAAAAATGGAGAAAAGCCTGTTGTTGATTGAATCGCCGTATTGTAGGCGTACGTCACGAAAGGAAGAACAACGTCCCAGTTGGAGTAGTCGGAATCAATATACATAGCGAGCATGTCTCCGAGGGTTCTGTTGAAACGTTCCGTTAGGCCGTTCGTCTGAGGATGGTAGGCTGTTGATGTGCGGTGTACCGTACGGCATGAATGTAGGAGCTGCTGCAGAACTTCGGACAAAAATACGCGACTTCTGTCACTCAGGAGCTCCCGTGGTGCACCATGACGAAGAACAAACCGGTGCAAGATGAAGGTTGCAACGTCACGAGCGCCAGCCGAAGGTAGCGCTGCCGTTTCGGCGTACCTTGTCAGATGGTCGGCAGCCACAATCACCCATCGATTACCACCAACAGAGCACGGTAGCGGGCCGTATAGGTCAATCCCAACACGGTCAAATGGGCGTGCAGGACATGGCAAAGGCTGCAGTTGACCGGGTGAATGACGGAATGTCTTGCGCTGCTGACACTGGGAACATGAGCGAATGTGTTTGCGAACAAACGTGTACATACCCCGCAAGTAGTAACGTTGGTGGATCTGCTCATACATCTTTAGCGCACCGGCGTGTGCGTGTTGCAGTTCAGCATGAAAATATTTGCAGATATCAGACCGCATATGGCTGGGTATGACTAGCAGCCATTTACGACCCCCCACTTGATAGTTGCGACGGTATAACAGGCCATCCCGTATGGCGAAATGCGTTGCTTGGCGGCGAAGAGCACGCGGGTAACCGGAAGTTGATGCGTCAGAAAGCATATTCCAGAGCGAGGCAATCCAAGGGTCCTTCCGCTGTTCGGATAACATGTCTGTGACGCTTACGGCAGAGAGGGGAAGGTCCAGGGCTGATATATCCGTATCAGATTTCACGGGTGATCGTGAAAGCCCATCTCCGTCAGAGTGCTTTCGTCCCGATCGGTAGACGACGCGTATGTCGAATTCCTGGAGGCGTAGTGCCCAACGTCCGAGGCGGCCGGAAGAATCTTTCAGTGAAGCCAACCAACAGAGTGCATGATGGTCAGTTACCACATCAAAAGTTTGGCCGTACAAATAGGGGCGAAACTTGTTTAACGCCCACGCAATCGCGAGGCACTCTTTTTCTGTAACAGAATAGTTGGCTTCTGCCTTAGTGAGGGCGCGGCTGGCATAGGCGACCACATACTCCGTAAAACCTGGTTTGCGTTGCGCGAGCACTGCACCAAGGCCGACGCCACTTGCATCCGTGTGTACTTCGGTTGGCGCAGTACGGGTGGTTAGGTAAGGAGTCGGCGCAGTGTTGCAAAGCATTCGTCACAGGCTGCTGTCCAATTCGAAAGATCTGCAGGGCCAGCAAGGAGTTTGGTGAGTGGAGCGATGATGGAGGCAAAGTTCCGGACAAACCGACGAAAATAGGAGTACAGGCCCAAAAAGCTCCGTAGTTCTTTAACTGTAGTCGGCTTAGAAAATTCGGCAACAGCACGAAGCTTGTCAGGGTCGGGAAGGATGCCGGCTTTCGAGACGACATGACCTAGTAAGGTAAGTTGTTTAGCCCCGAAGTGACACTTCTTCAGGTTAAGCTGAAGCCTGGCGTTTGTAAGGCACTGTAGAATTTTACGCAGACGAGTGAGATGCGAAGTGAAATCGGGTGAAAAAACCACGTCATCAAGATAGCACAAGCATATGTTCCATTTGAGACCGCGTAAAATGCTGTCCATCATTCGCTCGAATGTGGCGGGCGCATTGCAGAGTCCGAATGGCACTAGGGTAAATTTATAGAGGCCATCCGGTGTGACAAACGCCGTTTTTGGACGATCAGACTCAGCCATTGAGACCTGCCAATAACCCGAGCGAAGGTCAAGCGAGGAAAAGAATTCTGCACCTTGGAGACAATCGAGAGTGTCGTCAATTATTTATTTATTTATTTATTTATTTATTTATTTATTTATTTACAAGTACTGCTGTCCCATGCCTGGGACATTGCAGGAGCGGGTACAGAAAAATCAACGAAAGCACAGAAACAAACAATAGTGCACACAAATTTATGTGACTAACACATAAAATTTTTCCCAAACTCTACAGTGTTCAGTCTACACAATGCACCATCAAGCTTGTTCCAAACTTCCACCACACACGGAAAAAAAGAGAATTTGAAACGATCCAAACGAGACCTGAAGGGTACAAGGTTCAAAGCGTCAAGGTACAAGGTTCAAAGGTATGCGGGGAAGAGGGTAAACATCTTTCCTCGTACTGTTGTTTAGGCGCCTGTAGTCTACGCAGAGCCGGATTGAACCATCCTTTTTTTTTTTGACGAGTACAACTGGGGAAGACCAAGGACTACAAGAAGGCTTGATGACTCCACGCTGTAGCGTGTCGTCTACTTGTTCTGCAATTACCCGACGCTCCGCCGGTGACACACGATAAGGGTGCTGGCGCAAAGGAGTACTCTTTCCTGTGTCTATTGTGTGCACAACGGTGTTCGTTCTTCCTAGCACCGCTTGGGGAAAGTAAACGAACGCTTGCATTCGTGCAACAGGGTAACAAGCTGCACTCCTTGAGCCGGGACGAGATGGCTGTCAATAGAAGGGTGAAATGCATCGGTAGACACGCTGTTCGAGGCAAAGTGAGGAATTAACGCGTTCAGCTCCATATTCGGCCAAACTGAGGGGGCACGAGTTGGGATTGGAAATAAATATCCCGGTAGTGTCTTGACA